TGAGGACAAACTGGCCAAGAGCAAACTGAGGCTGGAAAAGAGAAGTTGGTTTCTGAATATTAAAGTAGGGAGGTTCTGGAACAGCTGCCCAACGAAAAAGTGGGGGAAAACAGCGTTTGAAGATAGAGCTTGACAGGTTTATGCACTGGGCGATATGCCGGGGTTGCCTGTCACAATGGGGGACTGGGCGTATGGACCCAGGAGGTCCCTTTCAGTCTCATGTCCCTATTGGGCCCATTTAGCATCACACTAGGAGCTCATATGGAGTTGCTTGTCCACTATGGCCCTGCTCTGTGCCCAGGACGCTGAGCTAGATGGACCATTGGTCTGAATCAATATGACCATTCTTCTGTTCTTAAATCATCTGATGGATGGGCTGCTGAAGAGAAGCCTTTTCCAGGGGCTTCCTCTGTTATATAGCTGGTGTAATCACCCTAGCAGACACCCGTGGTAGGGTGACCATATGTCACTTTTTTAAGTCCTGTCCCCTGAAGGAATGCCAGGCCCCACAGATGGGTAAGGCAGAGCTGGAAGGGGGGCAATGTTCCAGCCTACGGTGACAGCCTCCTCAGACCTGAGTGGGTTCCTGGATCCCCAAGAGAAACTGGAGGCTTTTCATCTGCCTCGTCTTCATAACTTTAATGAAGGTGGCACTGACGGAGTCTCTGGCTGAACTCTGGGCATGGAAAGTTGAAAACTTCCTGCCCAGTCTATGGCTGGGGCATTGTGCCCATCAGCTACTCTAACCAGCCCTCCCATCTCTGTGCAGCCACCTCCACCCTGGACAACATCCCTTCAGCAGATCCTGAAGGCAATGGCTACTGTGACAGACCCTGGTAGCACATCTCTGATGAGCTTGTGCTAGCAGGGAGCTGGAGAGGGTCCTAGAGCAGTTGTGGAGGCACAAAGGATGGGTAGGTCTAGGTACCAGTGGATCACTGAGATCTGTACCTCACTTCTGGGATCCCAGGATCCTGAGTCCCTCTGTTTATTGCTCAAGGATAAGGGAAGGGACCTCCCCCCCTGGAACTATCCGAGGGAAGTTTCCCTGTAAGGAGCCTTGTGGAATCTCCCTTCCCTGGCCTGCACCTGGGTTCATAATGCAGGGGAGAAATCTGGTCCTATTTTATTATTATTATTATTATTATTATTTTTTTCAGCAACCTTACAGTGGTGACAGCCTCATTGTTACCACTAGGCCACCCCCAAGGTAGACATGTGACTAATCTGAATAAAGCAAACAGTGATGGCAAGCCCGGATTCCAGGAATAGGGCCTGCAGCAGGGCTGGTGCTGCAGTCCGGTTGATTACCACCACCACACATCCCCTGTGATTTGGCCTCCTGCAGTTTGCCATTGGCCGTGACGGGGGTTAAAGCTGGTGCACACGAAGCCAAGAAGCTGAGCTTCCCTGATGGCCAAGTGGCCCCCAAGGGAATGTGCAAACATGCTTCATATAGACAGTTGCCTCCCTATTCGAACAGGTACTGCCTGCTGCCCTGCAACCTCTCCGATGACTCCTTGTCCTTTAGGGTGAAGACCTCTGGTGTCAGCAGCTCCACGTCTAGCAGGAATTGGGTATGTTGGTAAGCTTCACTATCTTTAAAATGTGAAGTGAAGGGGAAAGACTGCGAGCTGTTTCCATTTGCAGATGTTCTGTGCAGCAGCAGAGGGCTCTCAGCTGGGCTGTCTGGGTAACTCAGTGACAGGACTGAAGGAACCCCTCCGCTACATCTGACCAAGCTCCACGGTGGGTTGTTTAAGCTGCACAAATACCTGCTAGTGTTAAAACCCCGATGCCCCAAGTCAGGATTTCTCAAAGGATCCCATTTCTAGAGGTGCCGTGAACCATGGGCCTGATCCTGCCAGGGGCTGAGGGAGAGGAGAGGAGACTGCCTGGAATATCAGTGGCTAGTTCCCAAATCACCTTAGGCTTATGTCCTCCTGGACATTTAATCAGCAAATGCATTTCCAAAGGTTTTATTCTCTGGATCGATTGTGAAGGCGGCTGCGTTGTTCTATGGTAACAGGGACGATAGAAATATGCTCTATTTCCTGACTGGCTGAGGGCTCCAGCACTTCTACCATATAGATACTCCTCAGAGTTACAGGGCTACTGGCATGTCTGTCCCCCTCTGGTCTCTGAGAACCAGATGTCAGGCCTCATAGCCTTCCCTCTCATGGGGTGGAATCCCGCCATCCTCCCACCCTCAGACTAGTCCCTGGGTTACAGCACATTGCAAATCAACTGTGCTTGCCCAGCAGATCCAAGTGGGTTCGCCACTGGTGGTTCTTTCCTTTGGAAGTCTGTGACTAGTGGTGAGATGAGTGACCAGTCAGCCTTCTTGAACCAAAATACTGTTTAATCTGAATATTAGGAATAAAGTGTAACATGGGAGAACAAGAGGATTTTCAAACAACAATCTTACACATCTCTGACCCCAAACCCTCCCACTCTGACAGGGACCCAGACAGGCCAAGAGCCTTCAGATTTCCCCAGAGGTGTCTGTCCTTGAAGGCTGAAGAGCTTCTCAGCAACAGCTGCCCCACCTCTGGACAGACTTGCAACACTTGCAAAACACACTGTGTAATGTGGTTTGAACCTGTAAATAGGTCTTCCCAAGTTGTATCTACGGTGTTGTCTCTCAACATCCCCAGAGGGGTTACTGAGTGATGGCTTTTCTTGAGCTGTTGCTTGTTTTCCAGCTGGTTGCTATTAAACTAAGAAGAACTAGACTGGTTTCACCTAACATAACATAAACATCCCACTAGCTAGGGGGGAAGGGATAATGCAGTGGCTTGAGCATTGGCTTGCTAAACCCCAGGTTTTGAGTTCAATCCTTGAGGAGGCCACTTAGTGATCTGGGGCAAAATCAGTTCTTGGTCCTGCTAGTGAAGGCAGGGGGCTGGACTCAATGACTTTCCCTTCCAGTTCTAGGAGATAGAATATCTCAATTTATTTTTATTTATTAATATAGGTCTACAGGAAACATCCCAAGAATTAAATTTAACTTACACTTTCATTATGACAGCTCAGCTTCATGTCTGTCACAAAATCGCTCCTGGGTACTACGTATTTTAGGAACGCAGGACATAGACAGTCAGAGAGAGAGAGAGAGAGAGAGCAAGCAATAGACTACTTTCCTGTGGGAAATGAAATTCCATTTCCATGAATACTCATGTATTTGAAATTGAAATCCACCTCTTGCAAACCCTCATTTTGGCTAAATAACAGGTGCTGGAGTTACTATGTACTAGAGAGTGATTGCTCAGGGAATGAACGTTTTCCGTGCTGACCCCAAAGCCTGTTTCCACTCCAGATACAGGCTACAGACTGACAGAACAGAACCTGAGGAGAACCAGTCAGCTATTAACCCAGGGACAGGGGAGTTACTAGACCAGTGGTCTCCAAAGTGGGGTGCACAAGAGTATCCTTGGGGGTGCACAGCAAGAGGAGGTTTTTTTTTTTCTCCGTCCGAGCGGCTTTTTTGTTGTTGTTTGTTTTTTGGTAGAGCCGGCATGGCAGGGGGTGCATGCTCAAAATTTTTTTACTGATAGGTGTGTGCGATCAAAAAAGTTTGGAGACCACTGTACTACACTTTTGTTTGCTGACAAGTGACTGAATGAGGGCTGAGACACTGCAAAATTTTCAGGTTCTGAAGAAATCCAGATGACAGACGCTACATTTTAAGTCCCACTAACCTGAGAAATCATCTCTGAAATAAGACCAGAGGGGAAAAAATGATTTGACATATGTTTATTAAAGTACAGATGTGTTAATGTTATGCCAAAACTTTTTATTGTAATACAAATATTACAAACTAAACTTTCATGACTTGCATGTATATAGAAAGAGTTGCTGGAAACTGCAGGAAGGAGTAGTGGGAATTTTACTGTTCAATGGCTTTTGCTTTAGAAAGCATATCAGAAGTTCTCCAAATACTGTTTGCAATGCGTTTGTGCTATTATTTCTTTGTTCAGTGAACCATTGCATGATACTATCTCCTGGTAACTGGGCAGAAGCTATTTCTAACACTTACATTCAGGGTTGTCCATTCAATCACTATGCAATACATGTGCAAGAACATAAGCACCTAAGACTTTCCAAAAAGTCCCGAGAGACCAGAACCACTGGTCAGTGTTTCAGCAAAGAGTAGAGCTGAGGTGCAAGAAAGGGGAATGTAATCGTGGTTGTATGTAATTTATGCCCATCACCTGTTACACAAGCATGGCTCAAGTAAGTTGCATACTCAACTGGATATTAGTGCAAACCTAGTGTATTCATATTCACCCATTTGCAATGCCATCCTCTCCCCAACCCAGCTGAACTAACTGTCTGTGGCAGCTTGTAACTTGCCAGATATCTACAGACCCTTGTATGAGGAGAGGATGCAGTTCCTGTGAGGATGATGAGAAGCCTGTAAGATGATTGAACTATCTGGATTCAGTCAACAGTACAATGGGCCACACTCAGAAGTGGAGGCCCGGAAAGGGTGTGTGTGTGTAGAGGTCTCCACTGTAAAAATCACACAGTGCTCAAGTAAGCTGTGGAACTCCCAACCACAAGATATCAATGGGGCCAAGAGCTTAGCCAGATTCAATGATGGAGTGGATGTTTATATGGGTAACAAGTTACAAAAAAAAAATTCACAACACAAAATATGTCTAACTAGTGAGTGTCAGGGGGAAATTTTCCCTGGGCGCTGGTTATCTCATAGCTGGCTATTGCAGGGCTTCTTCCACCTTCCTCTGCAGCACCTGGAACTGGCCACTGGTTACTGGGCTAGATGGACTACAGGTCTGAGCCAGTCTGGCCGTGCCTATCTTCCTATTGGTGGTGTAAATTTAAGACCATGTTTTTGCTGATCTTCCTTGAGCTCCTGGGAATCTCTAGACTTGCACTGAGAACAGAATGATGTCTCATTAAATATCATCGAGTCTCCTGTTATTTTTCTTTTTAGGAAAGAAAGGTAAAAACTGCTTGGACCTGCCGTATACATTATGTCAGCTGTCAATGACACCAAATTCAACTCTGCAGTGTTCCTTCTCACCGGGATACCTGGGCAGGAAGACATTTATCTCTGGATCTCTATCCCCTTCTGCTTAATATATGTTATTTCGATAGTAGGCAATTCAGTCATTCTGTTCATTATAAAAACAGATCCAAGCCTCCATGAGCCCATGTACATTTTCCTTTCCATGCTGGCCGTCACAGACCTTGGCTTATCGATATCCACCATACCGACGATACTGGGCATATACTTGTTTAAATTTAGGAGAATCAGCCTCAATGCCTGTTTTGCCCAGCTGTTCTTCATCCACTCACTTTCAAAAATTGAATCCTCCGTGCTGTTGTTGATGGCCTTTGACCGCTTCGTTGCAATCTGTAACCCACTGAGATATGCTTCCATCTTAACACCACCGAGAATAGCTAAGATGGGACTGGTGGTTGTGCTAAGATCAGTGGCCCTAATATTCCCACTCCCCTTTCTCCTGAAACAGTTCAGATACTGTCGAGCCAATGTCCTTTCTCATTCCTACTGTCTGTACTCAGAGGTCATGAAGGCGGCTTGTTCGGACTTCACAGTCAACAGCATCTATGGCTTGTGTGTTAAACTCTTAACAGTGGGGTTGGACTCGTTCCTCATCTTCCTCTCTTATGTGATGATCCTCAAAACAGTGCTGAGCATCGCATCCCACGAGGAGTGCCTCAGGGCCCTGAACACCTGCGTCTCCCACCTCTGCGCCGTCCTGCTCTTCTACATATCAGACATCGGCCTGGCTGTGACACACAGATTCGGGAACAGCTCTTCTCACTTGTTTCAGATTCTCCTCGGCTATGTCTACTTGCTGGTCCCACCTATGATAAATCCAATTGTGTACAGTGTGAAAAGCAAACATCTTCGTGTGAGGATAATCAGGGCATTCGTCAAGTGAAGGGTCAGTTCATCACCTCTCTCCCGGGCTGGTGACACGGGAGACGACAAACACGAGTGACAGTCACGGCTACCTATTCCATCATGGATCCTTTTCCCCTGTGGTCCCTCCCTCTGCCCCATCTCTTCCCCCAAAACCGTACCTCTATGACTCCGCTTACCCAAGAATCTACCCCCTTTCCAGGCTGGAAGCCAGAGCCAGGCTGTGGTACGACCTGCCAGAGAGCCAGAGCCACTGTGAGGAGCCCCAGACCCTCCACATTTTAGGCCCCTCCCGCAGGATGTACAACTCAGGGAAAGTGGAGAGTCCAGGGTTCCCCACAGCAACCTGTGCTCCTGGGGCAGCTCTTACCATGGCCCGACTCTGGCCTGGCTGGGAGGCGGAGTTTCAGGGAAAGTGAAGGTGCAGGGGGCAGGGCTTAGTGGCAAGAGAGGGGGCGGGGCTTCAGAGGAAAAAAGGGAGTAGGGGGTCCGGCCAGTCTGAACGGAGACCCCAGCAAGTCGGACGGTTGGGGTGTTCCTGAGTAAAGAAGGAGGATGGGGCTGGCGGGTAGGAGAGCCTGTGTTTTGGAGAAGACTGAATTAATGTGACCCCACAAATGGGGCTCCTCTTTTAAGTATCCCAAGCTGAGAGTAAGTCATTGCAAGGATCTTAGAGGGAAGAGCAGGGCTACTTCACGACCCAAGGGGGCACTCTGCAGTGGCATCTGTCAGCGGGGACTTGGCCAGAGTGTCCTGTGCTCCTGGAAGCCCTTACGATCAGGCGTAGATCAGCCCAACTCCACGGCTGCTCTAAACTCTTCTGTGGCAGGGGGAGAACAGGCCAGCGAATCAAACCACTGTAACTGGCTACCTGCCGTCCCCACTCTATACAGCACAGTGGGGAGCTCTGCTTGTGCAACAGAGAATCCTGTCGGGTTTGTCACCGCTGGAAGCTGGAAGGCTGGGCCTGTGGGCTTGGCACTGCTCAGAATCTCAAGAGAGATGGGTTTGATTCCCTGCCATGTGTGATTGTAGAACGTGGCCAAGCTATTGGCTGTCTCTGAACCTATGCACAGGTGGATAATAGCCTTGCTCTGCCTCACAGGGGTGGCGGCAGGATAAATACATTGAAGATACTCAGATACTCTGAGACCCTAAGATCAGAGCTCTATCAGGGTCCCACAGAGCAACATCTCTCACATTTGTCTATAAAAGGCTTCTTACCACAGCCACCTGTGACAGCTGGCTTCTGGTAATCCCCATGACTCCCAACACCTTGATGTCTGTGGCAGATCTGAGGGTACTTGGGGGGGTGAGAGTGAGGGGTAGGTAGTAGATTTCTGGGAGGAGTGTTGGGGTATCACAGGGACACCACCAGTTTCAGCACAGTCCCCGGACTGGAGAATAATTTTTCTCCCTCCTCCTTGTAACAACCGTTTAGGTACTTGACAACTGTTATCATGTCCCCTCTCAGGATATGTCTACACTACGAAATTGGAGTCTTCTCTTCTCCACACTAAACAAACCCAATTCTTTCAATCTTCCCTCATAGGTAATGGCTTCTAGACTTTTAATAATTTTTGTTGCTCTTCTCTGTGCTTTTTTCAATTTTGTCCAAATCTTTCCTGAAATGTGGCACCCAGAACTGGACACAATACTAAAGTTGAGGCCTAATCAGTGTGGAGTAGAGCAGAAAAATTACTTGTGCCTTGCTTATAGCACTCCTACTAATACATCCCAGAATGATGTTTGGGTTTTTTGTAACAGTGTTACATTGTTGACTCATATTTAGCTTGTGGTCCACTATGACCCCCAGATCCCTTTCTACAGTACTCCTACCTAGGCAGTCATTTCCCATTTTGTGGGAATGATCCACTCTAGCAAATAATTCTTAGATTCATAGAATTTAAGGCCAGAAGGAGCCATTAGATCATCTAGTCTAGAGGTTCTCAAACTGGGGGAAGGCCTCCCTGGGGTAGTGCCGAATATATTCGGGGGGGAGGGAGTAAGAAGCTGTAAGGAAAAAACCTTTCTGTGCACATTTTACCCGCAGCAATGAGTAAGTGGCACAGTTGATTCCTCCAGACTGATCCGGTCCTCAGACGGTGTTGTGCATTTGTCTGTAGGTGGTGCAGTGCATTTGACAGATTTCTGTTAAGGTTGCACAGCATTATACAAAGTCGGTGCCATCTGAATGTGAAGCTGTTTGCTAAGGCACCATGTGCACATTTCACTGTAAACAGGGACTACAATCGCAGTTTTGTTTTTGCTGTCATTACAATGGATCGTTGGCTCATTCGTGCAAGAGAAAAAAACCCCCAACTGATTCAAATAAATCCCCGTGCCTGCGTTTATCAATGTATGTATTTGGGTGGTGGGGTGTGTGTACACTCTTACACACACAAAGAAGGGGGGGGGGCGATCAAGTAAGTTTAGGAATCACTGATCTAGTCTGACCCCCTGTATATCACAGGTTGTAGAATTTCACCCATTTACCCCTGTATTGAGCCCAATGACTTGCGTGTGACTAACACATCACTTGTGTTCCTCTAAAGCGGATCTTCCAGGAAGGCATCTAGTCTTAGTTTGGAAATAGCAGGAGAATTTCCCACCTTCCTTGGGAGTTTGTTCCGGTGGTTAGTCACCCTCACTGTTAAAAATGTATGCCTCATTTCCAAATTCCGTTTGTCTGGTTTCAGTTTCAAGCCATTGACTCTTGTTATACCTTTCCCTTCTGATTAAAGAGCCCTTTAGTACCTGGTATTTTGTCCCTGTGAAGGTGCTTGTCCACTGTCATCAAGTCAGCTCTGTCTCTTTTGGGTAAGCTAAACTGCTTCAGCCCTTGAAGTCTGTCACTGTCAGGCATTTTCTCCAGCCTTTCAGTCATTTGTGGTGCTCTTTTCGGCACCCTCTCCAATTTTTCAATCTAGGCACCAGACCTGGACGCAGTATTCCAGTATTGGTCTCACCAATGCCATACACAGGGGTCTTCCACCTCCCTAGTTCTAGTCACCACACCCCTCTTTATACAGCCAAGTGTATGTTGGAAATGACAGAGGAGGAGAAAGTCCTGGATGTATTAGTCTGTCCCAGGATGACTGTGAGCCACGATGTGATGCAGCTGTGAACAAGATGTATGAGATCTGAGAATGTGTTAGGTGAGATAGGGGAGTATTATGTTGGCAGAAGAACAAATGGGGAGAAACTGGCCAGGAGTAAACTCAGGCTGGAAAGGAGATGAAGGTTTCTAACCATCTGAAGACAAAGGTTCTGGAACAGCCTCCCAACAGGGGAAAGATGGGGCAAACAACTCAACCAGTTTTCACATAGAGCTTGACAGGTTTATGCACCAGATGATATGCGGGGGAGGGCACTGGTGCTCAACCAGCTAGTCCTGTCCATGCTCTGGCACTGGCTCAACACCCTGGTTCTGGCCCTGGGTTTCCTGGCTGATATCCAGAAGCTGGTTCTGGGGTTCTTTTGGCCAGGACTGCACTGGGTCTCTGCAGGGGTCCTCCACCTGCCCCTGGAGGAGGGAGGACAGGGCCTGAAGTGCCTGCGTGCTCAGGTCCACGTCTTCCGCCTCCAGGCCCTGCAGAGGTTCCTGTATGGTGCAGGTGGCTCAGCGTGGAGCATACTGGCACACACCTTCCTGTGCCACTTCTAAGTGCTCTGATATCACCAGCAGCTCCTTTATCTCCATCCGAGTGGTCTTCCACAAGACCTCTCCGGGCTTCTACCAGGACCTCCTCCAGACCTGGAAACTGGTCTTGGCGACCAGGTCCATGGCAGTCACTGAGGGGGCGGATCTCCTCTCAGAGCCCCTGCTACACAACCCCCATCTCCATGTGCAGGTGGCAGCGTGCCCCTTGGTGTGACAGAGGCTGGTCCTGGCAGAAGTCACCAGACTCAGAGACCTCCTGGACGATGACTGGGGAGACTGGCTGGATCCCCTGACAGTCGCTCAGCATATGGGGCTCTCCAGCCCTCGTAGTCCCCAGTTAATAAACTGATTACAGGAAATATCTTACTCTCAGAGATGTTCCAATAAGTTTCTTTCACAGACCAGCCTCCTTCCTAGTCTGGACCCAATCCTTTACCTTTGTACAGTCTTTGTTAGATCTAGCAGACATCTCAGGTGGTAAACCGGGGTTTTCTCATGATTGGCAGCCTCCTTTGTCTTGCTCTACCCCCTTTTATAGCTCTGGTGCAACGTGGGAATCTTTTGTCTGTCCTTGTCCCCACCCCTGCCTCATTAATGGAAAAGAACAAGGATTAAGATGGATTCCAGTATCATGTGACATGGTCCATGTCACTTTAAGACCCCTAGTCTCCATTCTTCCTGGCCAACATGTACACAAAAAGGTTTGCAGGTAAATAAACCATTTACAACCAATTGTCTGTGTCAATGGGAGCCATCAAGATTCTAAACCACCATTAATGGCCCACACTTTGCATAATTACAATAGGACCTCAGAGTTATACTTCATATTTCTAGCTTCAGATACAAGAATGATACATGCATACAAATAGGAGTAATATATTCAGTAGGTTATAACCGTTGTTATGATACCTTACAAGAGACCTTTTGCATAAAGCATATTCCTGTTACATCATATTCACATTCATAAGCATATGTCCATAAAACATATGGAGCACAACATCACGGGAGGTTTTGGAAGAAATTAAACAGTAATAAGTCACCAGTACCAGATGGGATTTACCCAAGAGTTCTGAAGGAACTCAAATATCAAATTGCAAAAATACTAACTACGGTATGTAACCTATAGCTTAAATCAGCCTCTCTACCAGATGACTGGCAGATAGCTAATGTAGTGCTGATTTTCCAAAAAGGTTTCAGAGGTGATCCTGGCAACACAGGCCATTAAGCTTAACTTCAGTACCAGGCAAATTGGTTGAAACTATAGTAAAGACCAGAATGATCAGACACACAGATAAACACACTTTGTTGGGGAGGAATCCACACAACTTTTCAAAGGGAAATCATGCCTCTCCACT